ATGCTGCCTGTAGGGGTGCCTTGGGGGCTCGGTTGTTAAGCGTCTGCCTTCGGCTCAGGTCATGATCCTGGGGTCCTGGGATCGAGCCCCGCATTGGGCTCCCTGCTCCGTGAGGAGCCTGCTTCTCTCCCTCTGCTGCTCCCCCTGCTTGTGCGCGCTCTCTCTCTCTGACAAATAAAAATAAAAATCTTTAAAATGCTGCCTGTATCACAGGCTAAATTCCTGCGTATATTTGGGGTTATTTCTAGACTTTGTGTCTATCCATGTCTAATGTGTCTCTGTGTGTGCTAGTGTCAAATTGTTGTAACATGGCTTTATACAATGTTTTAATGTCTGCTAAGACATTACATATCCTTTTTTTAGGTTTTCCTAAGTATTCTTGCATATTTATTTTTCCGTAGGTACTTTAGAATCAACTTGACTAGGAAAAAAATCCTGTTGGGATTTTTCTTGGCATTGCACTAATATTATGAATTAATTTATGCTATGTGACATGTTTGTTGCATTGAGACTCTCTGTCCAAGAACTGGTTTTAGTTCCACTTATTCAAGCCTCAGTGTCCCTCTGTAGACTTTAAAATATTTTTCCATGTTGATCTTGAATATTTGTTAAGTGTATTCCTGAGTATTTAATACTTTTGTGCTTGTCACTTTTGCTTTCATAAACAGGATATTTCTTCTGTTTTATTGTCTGTAAATAGTTCCCACTTATACAGAGAAAAGTAGTGGTTTTTTAAGATACTGATTTTTGTATGTTAACTTTGTATTTGCCCAGTTTATTAAATTCTGTACTATTTTAAATGGTTACAGTTGTTTTCTTGAGTTTTCGAGGACAGTCATATCACCTTCAAATAATGGTTTTGTTTTCTCCTTTACAGTTTTTATTCCTCTTATTGGATAATTCCATCAAAACAACATTAAAAAATTGTAGTGATAGTCAATATCTTGGTCACATTCTTCACTTTAATGACAATGTTTTTAGTATTTTAACATTGAATATGATAATGACTTGGATTAGAATGAGGAGAAATAAATTTTACAGGTTAAGAAAGTATCCATCTAGGGGCGCCTGGGTGGCTCAGTCATTAAGCGTCTGCCTTTGGCTCAGGTCATGATCCCAGGGTTCTGGGTTCAAGCCCCACATCGGGCTCCCTGCTCTGCGGGAAGCCTGCTTCTCCCCACCCCCACTCCCCCTGTTTGTGTTCCTGCTCTCGCTCACTCTCTGAAATAAATAAATAAAATCTTAAGAAAAAAAAGTATCCATCTATTTTTGTTTTCTTGGTCAGTAGAGCTAAAGGTCCATCAGTTTTGTTTATATTTACAAAGAACTTTGGGGGCACCTGGGTGGCTCAGTCGGTTAAGCATCTGCCTTCAGCTCAGGCCATGCTCCCAGGGTCCTGGGATCCAGCCCCATGTCGGGCTCCCTGCTCAGCGGGGAGTCTGCTTCTCCCTCTCCCTCTGCCCCTCCCCCTCCCCCTGCTCTCTCTATCGTGCACTCTCGCTCTCTCAAATGAATAAAATATTTTTAAAAAAGAACTTTTGGTTTCCTCATTTTGTCTCTTATTTTTCTGTTTCACTTATTTCTGCTTTAATTTTTATTTTCTTCTTTCTGCTTGCTTTGGGTTTTCTTTGCTCTTCTTTTTCAAGCTTAATGTGGAGGAATAGGTTATTTATTTGAGATCTTTGTCCTTTCCTAATATAGGCATTTACCTTATAAATTAACCCCTCTCCTGCCTCCCCTGCCCCAAGCACTGCTTTAACTGTATCATTTAACTTTTGGTATATTGCGTACTTTCAGTCATTCTGTCTAATTCTGTTGAGAGTTTTTGTTAATGAATATTGAATTTTATCCAGTATCTTTAGCACCAGTAGAGGTGACCACATGATTTTTATTCATTAATAATGACAGACTATATTAATAGTTTTCTAATACTGGACCACCCTTGCATTCTTGACACAAATTCCACTTGATTGGGTGGTATTCTTTTGATGTTCCGATGATGTTTATCTGGTACCTTTTTTTTTTTTTTTTTTTTTTGAGGGAGAGAGGGTGAGAGTGTACACAAGAGGAGGTAGGGTCAGAGGGAGAAGCAGACTCCCCACTGAGCAGGGAGCCCGATGTGGGACTCAGTCCCGGGGCTCCAGGATCATGACCTGAGCCGAAGGCAGTTGCTTAACTGACTGAGCCCCACCGGTGCCCTGGTACCTTTTTTTTAAGCTTTTAAAAAATTGAGATAATATTGACATATAACATTATATAAGCTTCAGGTGTACAACATAATGATTTAATATTTGTGTACATGGTGAAATGATCACCACATTGTCTATAGTTAGCATCTGTCAGCACAGTTACAAATTTTTTTCTTGTGATAAGAACTTTTAAAATCTATTCTGAAAAAAATAAAAAATAAAATCTCTTCTGTTAGCAACTTTTAAATATGCCATACAATATATGCCATAGTCGCCGTGCTGTACATTACCCCGCGACCTACTGATTTTATAACCGCAAGTCTGCACCTTCTGACCCCTGTCAACCCATTTCACCCCCCTCCCAGCAACCACCAGTCTGCTCTCTGTATTTATGAGTTTGGTTTGTGTATGATTGTTGTTGTTTTGTTTTTGGTCTGTTTTGTTTTTCAGGGGAAGTTTTTTAGATTTCACATTTAAGTGAGATCATTTGGTGTTTGTGTTTCTCTGCCTTACTTCACTTACCATAATGCCCTCAAGGCCTATCCATGTTATCGGAAATGGCAAGGTTTCATTTTTTTATACCTGAATGATATTCCTGTGTGTGTGTGTGTGTGAATGTATATATATACCACATTTTCTTTATCCATTCATCCATTGATAAACACTTAGGTTGCTTCCATGTCTTCGCTATTATAAATTATACTTCAGTGAACTTTGGGGTGCAGATATCTTTTCAAGTTAGTGTTTTTGTTTGCTTCAGATAAATACCCAGCAGTGGAATTATTGAATTATAGGGTAGTTCCGTTTTAATTTTTTGGAGGAACCTCCATACTGTTGTCCACAGTGGCTACACCAATTTACATTCCCACCAATAGTGCATAGGGCTCCCTTTTTTCCACATTTTCGCCAACACTCGTTATTTCTTATCTTTTTGATTCTAGTCATTCTAAAAGGTATGAGGTGATAATCCCATTGTGAATTTGCATTTCCCTGATGATGAGTGATGTTGAGCACCTTTTCATGCACCTGTTGGCCATCTATCTGTAGGTCTTCAGGAAGATGTCTCTTCAGATCCTCTGCCCATTTTTTAATTGGGTTGGTTTTTTTGCCATTCAGTTGCATGAGTTTTTATATATTTTGGGTATTAACTCTTTATCAAATATACAGTTTGCAAATATTTTCACCTATTCTGTATAGTTTGCCTTTTCATTTTGTTGATTTCCTTTGCTGTGCAGAAGATTTTTAGTTTGATGTAGCCCCAATTGTTAATTGTTTCTCTTTTTTTGATGCCTTTGCTTTTGGTGTCATATTCAAAAACATCATCACCAAGACCAGTGTCTAGGAGCTTACCACTTACATTTTTTCCTGGGAATTTTATGGTTTCAGGTCTTACATTCAAGTCTTTAATCTATTTTTTTAATTTATTCTTTTATTATGTTTTTTTAGAGAGGGGGAGGAGCAGAGGGAGAGAGAGAATCTTGTCTTAAGCAGGCTCTGTGCCCAGCATGGAGCCTGATGCGGCACTCGATCTCAACGCCCAGAGATCATAATCTGAGCCAGAATCAAGAGTTGGATGCTTAAGTGACTGATCCACCCGGGGGCCCCAAGTCTTTAATCTATTTTGAGCTAGTTTTCGTGTATGGTGTAAGATAGTGGTCCAGTTCATTCTTTTGTATGTGACTGTCCAGTTTTCCCACCACCATTTTTTGAAGAGACTGTCCTTTCTCCATTGTATATTCTTGCCTCCTTTGTTGTAAATTAACTGACCATATATGCATGCATTTATTTCTGGGCTCTCTATTCTGTTTTATTGATCTGTGTATCTGTTTTTATGCCAATATGATACTATTTTGATTAGTATAGTTTGTAATATAGTTTGAAATTAGGGAGCTTGATGCCTCCAGCTTTGTTCTTTCTCAACATTCTTTGGCTATTCAGGATCTTTTGTGATTCCATACAAATTTTAGGATTGTTCTACTTCTGTGAAAAATACCACTGGAATTTTCATAGGGATTGCATTGAATTTTAGATTGTTTTAGATAGTATGGATATTTTAACAGTATTAATTCTTCCAATCCATGAGCACGGAGAATCTTTCCAAGCATTTTCTAAAATTCATGCCACGGGGCCTGGGTACCTCAGTCGGTTAAGTGTCTGACTTCAGCTCAGGTCACGACCTCGGGGTCCTGGGATTGAGCCCCTTGTTGGGCTCCTTGCTCAGCAGGGAGTCTGCTTCTCCCTCTCCCTCTGCCCCTACCCCCACTCATGGGTGCTCTCGCTCTCTTTCAGACAAATAAAATCTTTAAAAAATAAAATTCATGCAAACAAGTGTTTTTTTGAGATTTTCTTTTATTATACTTCGGTAGATTTTATCTGCTTATGCTGTCTTTATAAAAATAATTGTGAAGCTCTTTTTTTTCATTGAATTAAAACATTTTAATAGCATTGGTGCTGTGATTGATACGAATTCACTGGTGAAACCTCCTGGGCCTAGTGCTTGTTTGCTTGCATTTTCTCTGTCTCTCTGTCACAATTTTCTTCCTACATAAATTGAAATTGTACCTCAGTACAAACATGGTGGAGGCAAATGTTTTCACTTTTCTTGTCAGAATATGTTATGAAACTGGAGACTTTAACTTTGTAAGAAATAATCAGAACGTTTATTTCGTTAAATAATGACAAAAAAATTTTGTGTTATTGAATATTTGAGTACTTAACCATAATCTACCTTTTTACAAATGTATTCGATGTTATAGATGTTCAATTTTGCATGATGGACCTGTAATTAATCTCTATTTTTTTATTGTATAGAAATTTACGGCAACAATGTCTACACCAGATAAGAAAGCCTCACAGAAGATTGGTTTTCGATTACGTAACCTACTCAAGCTTCCCAAAGCACATAAATGGTGCATATACGAATGGTTCTACTCAAATATAGATAAGTATGTATCATGGCTTACATTGTGGATATCAAACAGTATAAGCTATTTTCTTTTCTGTAGGTCTGTTTTCTTTTTTTTTTCCTAATTTCTTTTTTCTGTTCTTCATTCTACTTTGATCCATTTCTGTTCCTCATAGTTTGCTTTTCCCCTTCCTCCTTTCAGAAGTGGTTATGCGTTTTTGTGAAAACTCAAATGAAAGTATAATCTGTATTATAATTTACAAAGACCATGGAGTGGAGATACCCTGGAACAAAGCTCCCTTATTGTAATAAACGAGACACGTTTTTCTCTTTTATTTTTTTTAAGATTTTTATTTATTTATTTTAGAGATAGCACGAGCTGGGAGAGAGGGAGAGGGAGAAGTAGACTCAGAGAAGTAGACTCCCCACTGAGCAGGGAGCCTGATGCCGGGACCCTGGGATCGTGACCTAATGCTCTAGAGTCTTCCAGTTTCTGTCTTTTTTTTTTTTTTTAAGATTTTATTTATTTATTTGACGGAGAGATAGCGAGAGCAGGAACACAAGCAGGGGGAGTGGGAGAGGGAGAAGCAGGCTTCCCACTGAACAGGCGGTCCAACACACAGGGCTCGATCCCAGGACCCTGGGATCATGATCTGAGCTGAAGGCAGACGCCTAATTGACTGAGCTACCCAGGCGCCCCAAGTCTTCCAGTTTTCTAAAACTGATTTAATCTGAAAGAGGACTCCTTGGTGTTGGGACAAAGATACATTGTAGCTAACATTGTTCATCCTCAGTGGATATGATGACAGTGCTAGAATATACTAGGATATACTCATACATGAGATTTAACAAAAATCAGTGTCTCCTTGAATCTCTAGCACAGATAATATTTCTTGAGTCACTTATACACATTGGTTGTTTCACAGATGCCACTTTTAGTTTTAGCACTTTGAATTTGTGCCTCTTTTGTATATGTTCTGGGTAGAAGTGAAAGAGCATTTGATGATTAGTATAATGTTGAAAATTGGAAAGCATATTTTGAAATTTATGCCTCTGAAGTAACTCATTGTGTCTTAACCATTAAAATACTATTTCTGTTTTACAGACCACTTTTTGAAGGCGATAATGATTTCTGTGTGTGTCTGAAGGAATCCTTTCCTAATTTAAAAACAAGAAAGTTAACAAGAGTAGAATGGGGAAAAATCAGGCGACTTATGGGAAAACCACGGAGGTAAAAATAATATTTTTATTTAAAATAAAATCAGTAAGTTAATTGTATAATTACCACCTTGATTCTTTTTCATCTTCACAAAGACTAGTTCTGAAAGATAACTTTTCAGAATAATTATATGTTAAATATATCCGGTTAACTAGCTTTAATGTAGGTCCTTTTTATACCTATGCGTCTTACAATTAAATGTACAGTTCCATTTTTGTTCAAATTACAGGCTTTGCATATAATTTTCTTACATTATCTATGCCCCACTATGTTCCAAAAAATATTTAAGAATGCACTAGAAAATATAGCTGATCCTTTAGCAACATGGGGGTTAGGGACACCAACCCTGCACAGTCAGAAATCTACATAAAACTTTTGACAGCCCCAAAACCTGTACTAGTAGTTTACTATTGACTGGAAGCCTTACTGATAACATAAACAGTCAATAACACATATTTTGTATGTCATGTGTATTGTATACTGTGTTCTTACAATAAAGTAAGCTAGAGAATAGAAAATGGTATTGAGAAAATCATAAGGAATGGAAGATGTGTTTACAGTACCATACTGCATTTGTCAAAAAAAAAAACATGTATAAGTGGATGTGGGCGGTCACATCCATGTTTTTCAGGAATCAGCTATATTTAATGAAGCTCTCAGGATATCCCTAGATTGTTATTATCTTTTTAAAAGCCGTTTATTACTGCAAAAGCCTTCTTAGAAGTACGTATTTTACTTTATATAAAAACGGGATGAGGGGGTAGGCGAAATGGGTGAAGGGCATCGAAAGGTACAAACTTGCATTTATAAAGTAAGTCTTGGCATGTTGCTGATAGTGTGATGACTATAGTTAATAATACTATATATAGTTCCTGACCGTGGATCTTAAAAGTTCTCATCCCAAGAAAAAAAATGTCGTACCTATATATGGTGTCAGATGTTAACTAGACTTAGTGTGGTGGTCATTTCACAATATATACAAATATTGAATCACACTGTTGTACACCTGAAGGTTACAGAGTGTGTTCTATGTCTATTATACTTCAATAAAATAAAAACACATGCTATCTCAGAAAAACAAAACCCCAGAAAGAAAAATCAAGTGAATCTATCCAATGTGTTGTTTTCTGAAAATTACTTTTCATGTGAAATGACTTTTCCTTTTGCAGTGTTATCTTTCTAACACATTGGAAAACCTTATATTACTTTTGAGTGAAGTTTTGAAATCTGTTAGATTATTCTCATATTATGTCTCTCTGCCTTGTAAAAACATGTACAAAAATTTTTCACTTTAGATGGTGGGAAAATCCAGGAAAGTCATGGAAATATAAAGTGACTTGGGCAAGTAGAAACAGAATTTAATTTTAATGATTTCTATAGATGGTGATGAAATGCAAGTAGAACTTTTAATTGAACTGGTAATATTTTATTTCTGTATTAAAAGAGGACGTTGCTGATGATGTTTTTAATATTTCCCTCATTTATAAGAACACTTGCACACACGCACAAATGCACACACACACAAAATGGAATACTACTCAGCCATAAAAAAGAGTGAAATCTTGCCATTTGCAACAATATGGATGGACCTCGAGCATATTATGCTAAGTGAAATAAATCAGACAAAGAAAGACAAATACCATATGATTCACTCATGTATGGAAACTAAAAAAAGAAAAAAAAGAGGCACCTGGGTAGCTCAGTCGGTTGAGTGTCTGCCTTTGACTCAGATCCTGGGGTCCTGGGATCGAGCCCTGCTTCTCCCTCTCCCTCTGCTGCTCCCCCTGCTTGTGTTCTCTCACTCTCTCTCTGTCAAATAGGTAGATAAAATCTTTAAAAAAAAAAAAAGACAAAAACCCAAAAAAACTCTTAAATACAGAGAACAAACTGGTGGTTACCAGAGGGGAGGTGGGTGAAATAAGTATAGTGAATTAAGAGGTACAGATTTCTAGTTATAAAAAGAACAAGGCATGGAGATGAAAAAAAAAAAGTACAGAATAGGGAATATAGTCAATGATATTATAGTAACGTGGTGACAGGTGCTGACTACACTTATTGTGGTCAACATTGAATAGTGTATAAAATTGTCAGCTCATTATGTGGTGCACCTGAAACTCATATAACACTGTATGTCATTTTCATGTGAATGAAAAAAATGCAAAAAAATAAATCCAATTAATAAATTGCTAAATGATTTCAATAGATGCTTCACCAAAGATATAAGGATGTCAAAGAAATACTAGAGAAGATATTCAACATATTAGTCAATAGAAAAATGCAAATGAACCCATAGTGTCTAGCATTTACAAGATTAAGCATACCAAGTGTTGGTGAGGCTATGGGGAAACTTGGAATCCTATGTGCTGCTGAGGGGAATTATAAAATGGTGTAACCGCTTTGGAAAACTGATGATTTCTCTCTTTTTTTTTTAAGATTTTATTTATTTATTTGAGAGGGAGAGAATGAGAGATAGAGAGCACGAGAGGGAAGAGGGTCAGAGGGAGAAGCAGACTCCCCGCTGAACAGGGAGCCCGATGCGGGACTCGATCCCGGGACTCCAGGATCATGACCTGAGCCGAAGGCAGTCTCTTAACCAACTGAGCCACCCTCTCTTTTTTTTAAGACTATTTTTTTAAAGAGAATTTTAGGTTTACAGCAAAATTGAGAGGAAGATAGATTTCCCAGATACTCCCTCCCCCCACAGATACACATGGTTCCCCTTAACAATATCTTATTAAGACAGTGATACATTGTGGTGAGTCTGTATCAACACATCATAATCCCCCAAGTCCATAGTTTACATTAGGGTTTACTCTGTGGGTTTTGAAAAATGTGTAATGACATATATCTATCATGATAATGTCATACACAGTACTTTTACTGCTCTAGTAATCTTTTGCACTCCACTTATTCCTTCCTCTCCCCATGGCCCCAATTCGTGGCAACTGCTGATCTTTTTACCGTCTCCAGAGTTTTGCATTTTCCAGAATGTCATATGTTGGAATCATACCATATGTAGCCTTTTCAGATTGGCTTCTTTCACTTAGTAGTATGCATTTCAGGTTCCCCTGTATCTTTTCATGGTTCGATAGTTCATCCTTTTTAGTGCTGAATAATATTCCATTGTCTGAATATACTATTTTTTTTATCCTTTCACTTACTAAGAGACATCTTGGTTGCTTCCAAGTTTTGGCAATTATGAGTAAAACATATGTAACATGTAAACATCCATGTTAAGGTTTTGGTGTGGACATAGGTTTTCAGCTCATTTGGGTAGATACCAAGGAGTGTGTTGCTGGATTGTGTGATAAGACTTGTTTAGTTTTATAAGAAACCACCAAACTATCTTCCAAAGTGTCCATGTCATTTTACATTCCCATCAGAATGAACGAGAGTTTCTGTTGTTCCGCATCTTGCCAGCATTTGGTGTTGTCTGTGTTCTAGATTTTGGTCATTCTAATAGATGTTAGTAGTGTCTCGCTTAATTTGCATTTCCCTGATGACATATGATGTGGAGCATCAAAGTGGCTTATTTGTCATCTGTATATCTTCTTTGGTAATATTTGGCTTCTTTGGTTTCTTAAAAGGTTAAACATACACTGATCATATGACCCAGCCGTGCTATTGCTAGGTATTTATTTAAGAGAAATTAAAGCATAGGTTATACAAAAACATTTCTCTACAGAAATGTTCATATCAACTTTGTTGTAATAACCCCAAACTGGAAACAATGCAAACGTCCACCAATAGGTGAATGGATAAACAAATTACAACACATTCAAAGAAAAAGATACTGTTCTCCAGTAAAAAGAATGATCCATTGAGGGACGCCTGGTAGCTCAGTCGGTTAAGCATCTGCCTTCAGCTCAGGTCATGATCCCAGGGTCCTGGGGTTGAGTCCCGCGTCGGGCTCCCTGCTCAGCGGGGAGTCTGCTTCCCCCTCTCCTCCCCGCTTGTGCTCTCTCTCGCTATCTCACTATCTCATTCTTAAATACATTATTCAAGAGAAAGAGGAAAAGAGGGAACGGTGAGATGGATGGTCTGATTTCCAAGTTTTTTTTTTTAATGTTTATTTGAGAGAGAAAACATGAGCAGGGTAGGAGCAGAGGGAGAGAGAGAAGCAGAGCAGGGAGCCCCACTGAGCAGGGAGCCAGACGTGGGCCTCCATCCTCTGTCACTATCTCTGTCTCTCTCTCTCAAATAAATAAATAAAATCTTAAAAAAAAAAGAACCATTGATACATGTAACAACGTGGATTAATCTTGGAATAATTATGCTGAGTGAAAGAAGCCTGACAAAAGAATTCATACTAGATGATCTCTTTTATATAAAATTTTAGAAGATAGAAACTATAATGACAGAAAGCAACTTAGTGATTGCTTGAGAAGTGGGCGTATGGAAGTGGGAGGGGTGCAAAGGAGGGATAATCAAGTGCCACAAGGAAACTTTGGGTAGTGATTGATGTCTTCAGATGTTCATTATCTTGTCTGTGATGGTGGTTTTGTGGATATGTATTTTGTGGCACGAAAGCTATGTTTAAGTTACTTTGGTTCATTCCAGTATTTGAAAATAGAAGATAGGCCCTGAAGATAAGAGTAAATTCAGTATTTATGCTTTAAGGCAGGAAGTATGATTAAACATTTACACAGTGGTAAGACTCATCTTTAGTTCTATATTGGTGTGCTCACTGGCTCACAGGGAAAATATCATGTTCTTCTAAATAGAATATTATAATTGAACTTTGTCCCAGGAGGAGACCTGGCATCCAGATGCAGTGTTGTCAAAGGATGGTGAACAAATCCTCCTGCTTTGTAGGAAAGGATAATGTAGACTTGCTTATAACCCTTTAAGTCTTGCAAAGTCCTATTTTTAAAAAGATATAATTTAGGGCGCCTGGGTGGCTCAGTTGGTTAAGCGACTGCCTTCGGCTCAGGTCATGATCCTGGAGTCCCGGGATCGAGTCCCATGTCGGGCTCCTGCTCAGCGGGGAGTCTGCTTCTCTCTCTGACCCTCTTCCCTCTCGTGCTATTTCTCATTCTCTCTCTCAAATAAATAAATAAAATCTTTAAAAAAAATAAAAATAAAAAGATATAATTTACTTTGAAGAGAAACTATTATTATTTCTAAGAACTCATTCTTAAATACATTATTTGAGAGAAAGAGAAAAAGAGGGAATGGTGAGATAGATGGTCTAATTTCAAGGGGTTTTTTTTAATTTATTTTTTTAAAATGTTTTATTTATTTGAGAGAGAGAGCATGAGCAGGGGGAGGAGCAGAGGGAGAGAGAGAAGCAGACTCCCCACTGAGTGGGGAGCCAGACGTGGGGCTCAATCCCGGGACTCCAGGATCATGACCTGAGCCAAAGGCAGACGCTCAATCGACTGAGCCACCCAGGCGCCCCTGTTTGTTTTGATTTTAAAGATTTATTCACTTGAGAGAGAGAGTGTGAGTGAGCGTGGGATAGGGCAGAGGGAGAGGGAGAGAGAAACTTTAGCAGACTCCTCGCTAAGCTTAAGCGTGACCTGGGCCTTGATCTCACGACCTTGAGATCATGACCTGAGCTGAAACTAAAAGTCAGATGCTCAACCGACTGTGCTACCTAGGGGCCCCGTGATTTCAAGTTTTTGTATAGGACAGTTATCAGTTTATATGATTTTTATAATTTATTCTAGATGTTCTTCTGCATTTTTTGAGGAAGAGAGATCAGCATTAAAACAGAAACGACAGAAAATAAGGCTCTTACAACAAAGGAAAGTTGCAGATGTTTCCCAGTTCAAAGATCTCCCAGATGAAATTCCTTTGCCTCTGGTTATTGGAACCAAAGTTACAGGTAAGTGAACATAAGCTCATTACCATTTTGCTTATAATTTTTCACCAAGATAACTACTAGGTAACCAGTAGACAAATGGCTTTTAAATTTTAAAAGCTTAAACTCTAGTCCTACAGCAATGTCCTACAGAAGTTATTATTTCTTCTTCTGTAGCATCTGGTTTTTAAACTACTTGGGAAAAAGTGTAGTGGTTCAAAGCAATGTCTACTACAACATAAACTAAAGCAAACTGCCACAAAGATGAAATTTAAAATTCACTAGATTAAGCATAGCTAGACATTGTTTAAATTTCTAAAATTTTAAATTGTTCTATCTTTTGCTTTCACATCATTTATTTTCCTTCCTAACCAATCTTAAATGGTTAAGTTAAACAAGTACCATTGTTTTTGTGCTCTTTGGGTTTAGGGATAGTCCATTTCTTTTTTTTTTTTTTTAATTTTTTTTTTTAAGATTTTTTTTTTTTTATTTGAGAGAGAGAGAATGAGAGATAGAGAGCACGAGAGGGAAGAGGGTCAGAGGGAGAAGCAGACTCCCTGCTGAGCAGGGAGCCCGATGCGGGACTCGATCCCGGGACTCCAGGATCATGACCTGAGCTGAAGGCAGTCGCTTAACCAACTGAGCCACCCAGGCGCCCAGGGATAGTCCATTTCTAATGACTGAATAGTAGGTAGTTTGCTCAGAATTTTATTTTAAGGGTGTAAATTCTGTCAACTTGCAGATGTGAGTCTGTGTGTTCTGTTCAATTATGACATGGAAGGAAAGTACCACCAAAACCTCAAGTTTAAGTTAGTCCTTAATAATTTGGTAAACTAAAATTACAGTTTATATAACAGGAAATAACAAGGTGTTAAGTGAGTAGGTAGATTAGTAACTGTACTGAAAGGGATTAAAAAATGGTTGGATTAAAAAAAATGATTGGATTTATCAAAGAATATTTTCTGGAGGAAAGGTAACCTTGAGTTACACATTAGTATCACTTTTTCTGGGGGCGCCTGGGTGGCTCAGTTGTTAAGCGTTTGCCTTCGGCTCAGGTCATGATCCCAGGGTCCTGGGATCGAGCCCCGCATTGGGCTCCCTGCTCTGCGGGAAGCCTGCTTCTCCCTCTCCCACTCCCCCTGCTTGTGTTCCCTCTCTCGCTGTGTCTCTCTCTGTCAAATAAATAAAATCTTAAAAAAAAATCACTTTTTCTGGTTATAAAAGTGGTACATGTTTCCATTATATTATAAAAAATGGGTAATTAAACGGAAAGGTAGATTAGAGGAGACTGTATCGTGCATATAAAATGCAGGTAGAATAGAGAAGAATTGATTTGGTTATAACTTACCATGATAACTTAACCATGTACAGAAGTTATAGATGATCTCTCTCTCAACAAAATTAGTTTGCAGGTGAGATTGGAGATGAAGTGAGGGGGAGATTGTGGTCTTGAAAAAATACATTAGTTCTAAAACACCATATAAATAAGTGCAGATGTAAAGTCTGCAGTACAACTATAAATCAGAGAAGTGTTGGAATGCATAAAGTGACATAAAAGTTAATTGTTTCAGAATTTTAAGGACTCGCAGTTTTATGGAGGGTCTATAAGTAGGTTGTTCTCGGTACAATGGAGAATAGGTTGGGCAGGATGTATCAGGATATGAGAAAACGGGGCGCCTGGGGGGCTCAGTCGGTTAAGCGTCTGCCTTCGGCTCGGGTCATGATCCTGGAGTCCTGGGATCGAGCCCTGCGTCTGGCTCCCCACTCGGTGGAGAGCCTGCTTCTTCCTCTGCCCCTTACCCGGCTTGCTCTCTCGCTCTCGCTCTCTCTCTCTCTCTCAAATAAATAAAATCTTTAAAAAAAAATATGAGAAAAGTTTGGGGCGCCTGGGCGGCTCAGTATTAAGTGTCTGCCTTTGGCTCAGGTCATGCTCTCAGGGTCCTGGGATAGAGCCCCACATTGGGCTCCCTGCTCAGTGGGGAGCCTGCTTCTCCCTCTCCCTCTGCCCCTCCCCCTGCTCATGCACACACACATTCTCTCAAATAAATAAATAAAATCTTTTTTTTTTTTTTTAAAGATTTTATTTATTTATTTGAGAGAGAGAGAATGAGAGATAGAGAGCACGAGAGGGAAGAGGGTCAGAGGGAGAAGCAGACTCCCTGCTGAGCAGGGAGCCCGATGCGGGACTCGATCCCGGGACTCCAGGATCATGACCTGAGCCGAAGGCAGTCGCTTAACCAACTGAGCCACCCAGGCGCCCAATAAATAAAATCTTTAAAAAAAATGATTTTTACATTTTAATTTTTATTTTAAAGATTTTATTTATTTATTTAGAGAGAGAGCATGAGCAGGGAGGAGAGGGAGAAGCAGGTTCCCTGCGAGCAGGGAGCCCAACTCAGGCCTCGATCCCAGGACCCTGAGATCATGACCTGAGCCGAAGGCAGACGCTTAACCGACTGAGCCACCCAGGTGCCCTGAGTTTTACATTTTTAAATGGCTGAAAAAAATCCCAGTAATAATATTCTGTGACACATGAAAATTATATGAAATTCAAAGACTTCATTAAGGAGGAAAGATGGTTCATAACTGAAACAGACTAATAAGAGGAAGCAGGGCAGGGCCAAAAAAAATCTGCCAGTAATTTTTTGTTTATCAGAAAAAGTTCAGCATACTGTCCAGCATGCAATACAAAATTACTAAGCCTATGAAGAAACATGAACACCGGTTCTGTAGTCAAAAGAAAAAGCCATCAGTAGAATTAGCTGAGATGGCTTAGATAGTGGAATTAGCAGTGGCTTCAAAATGTTTGTTATAAACTTAATGTAAATGTCATCATAATGAGTGGGGAAATCTCAGATAAAGAGGAATTAGGTCTAACAAATTTAGAAGTAAAAAGTACAGTATCTGAAAAGAAAAAAAAATTTTTTTTGTAGAGATTTTATTTATTTATTTGACAGAGAGTGAGAGAACAGGAGAGAGTGAGCATGAGCAGCAGAGGGAGAGGGAGAAGCAGGCTCTCTGCTGAGCAAGGAGCCCAATGCGGGACTCAATCCCAGGACCCTGGGATTATGAACTGAGCTGAAGGCAGACGCTTAACTGACTGAGCCACCCAGGCACCCCAATAATGAACTTTTTATAGAAAATGGCAAATATGTGTAAAATAGAACAATCATGTTGCAAGCTTCTTGAATTTGTTATGAGAGCATACGATGTTGACTATGAGTAGACTGTAGTAAGTAAAGCCTTGGGTATTCTGATCTGTAGAGTATTGAGGTTCAAAACCTTCCGGGTGCATCAGAATTACCTGGAGGGCTGGATGAAACAGATTGCCAGACTCCCTTCCACCCTCCGAGTTTCTGATTCAGAAGGTCAGGGGTAGGGGCTAAGAATTTGCATTTTAACAAGATTCCAAGTGATGTTAGGGCGCCTGGGTGGCTCAGTCATTAAGCCTCTACCTTCCTTAAGTGGTTAAGCGCCTGCCTTTGGCTCAGGTTATGATCCCAGGGTCCCTGCTCTGCGAGAAGCCTGCTTCTGCCCCGCCCCCACTCCCCCTGCTTGTGTTCCTGCTGTCACTGTCTCTCTCTTTGTCAAATAAATAAATAAAATCTTAAAAAAAAATAATAAAAAAAGGGGCGCCTGGGTGGCTCAGTCGTTAAGCGTCTGCCTTCAGCTCAGGTCATGATCCCAGGATCCTGGGATCAAGCCCCGCATCGGGCTCCCTGCTAGGCAGGAAGCCTGCTTCCCCTCTCACACTCCCCTTGCTTGTGTTCCCTCTCTCGCTGTCTCTCTGTCAAGTAAATAATTAAAATCTTTAAATAAATAAATAAATAAATAAGATTCCAAGTGATGCTGCTAGGGTGGGGCTATACTTTGAGAACTAGTAGAAGGGCCTACTTTTTTTTTTTTTTTTGAGAGAGAGAGAGAGAGAGAGAGCGGGCGGGGAGGGGCAGAGGGAGAGGGGGAAACAGACTCTGCTGAGGGCAGAGCCTGAGGCAGGGCTGGATCTCACAACCCTGAGATGATGACCTGAGCCAAAATCAAGAGTGGGACGCTTAACCGACTGAGCCCACAGGCACACCAGGACCTACTTTTTAAAAAATGCTGAGAGGCGCATACCTAAAAAGCCAACAGAGAAGTTAATTTTGAAATTCTAGCAAATAATTAAATGAAAAGATGATGGGAAATAAAGGACAGGGGAACAAAAACCATGGGATAAATAGAAAATAAACAGCAAGATGGTAGACTCAAGTCTGGTCCTATTTTCATTATATTAAATGTCAATGAACTAAGCACAATACTGAAAAAGTAGAGATTATCAGACTGGATTAAAAAAAAAAGAAATGCCTGAGACACCTGAGTGGCTCAGTCTGTTAAGCATCTGCCTTTGGCACAGGTCATGATCCTGGGGTCCTGGGATCCAGTCCTGCATCAGGCTCTCTGTTCAGCGGGAAGTCTGCTTCTCCCTCTCCCTGCCGCTCCCCCAGCTTATGCTCTCTCTCTCTCTCTCTCTCTCTGTTAAATAAATAAATAAAATCTTTTTTAAAAAATGCCTAACAGTATGCTATCTTTAAGAATTATACTTAAAATAGGGCGCCTGGATGGCTCAGTCGTTAAGCGTCTGCCTTCGGCTCAGGTCATGATTCCAGGGTCCTGGGATCGAGTCCCACATCGGGCTCCCTGCTCGGCGGAAAGCCTGCTTCTCCCTCTCCCACTCCCCCTGCTTGTGTTCCTTCTCTCTCTGTGTCTCTCTCTGTCAAATAAATAAATCTTTAAAAAAAAAAAAAGAATTATACTTAAAATATAAAATCACCAGTAGATTAAAAGCGAAAGGGTGAAAAAGATATGCCATGCAGCTATTGACCATAGAGAGTTGAAGTGGCTGTATTTTTTTTTTTATAGATTTTATTTATTTATTTGAGAGAGAGAATGAGATAGAGAGAGAGCACGAGAGGGAAGAGAGTCAGAGGGAGAAGCAGACTCCCTGCTGAGCAAGGAGCCCGATGCGGGACTCGATCCCGGGACCC